ACAGGTGCGTGTATCATGTAGGCGGTTTGCAGCTCTGTTCTCTTTTCTGACGTTCCCCGTGAAGATTTGTTTTTCTGTTTCATATACCCACAAAAAATTTGCAAACTGAAGGTAACAATTTCGTTTGATAAAAAGGTAGGAGAGATTAACTCCGACGTTTAGAACAATGTTCTGCTTGCTTCCTATGTACCAAAAAGAACCGTGTTTCGGGCACATGATCCACCGGGTCGCGCAATGCCATTTGTTATTATGCGATCTCTTTTCCGGGTACCCTGATACCTGATGTTAAAAAAAACGGGTACCCGGTTCTAAAAATACCCGCAAATGCACACCCCTACTTGGAACCAACTTCATTTTGCAGCCAGATCAAATTCTTCAAGACTCAAATTTTGGAATTTTATAACATAATGTTCAGCTCTAGCTTCGCATCCGATAGTATATGTACTTGGGTGTCTAACTCTCGCTGTGCTGGCTGTAGATATTAAAAAAGTCCCACTTGTCTTATTTTCTTTGCGGGGGGTCGTCACGTGGTAGGATAGCTCTGTAGAGGTGCTGGTCACCTGTTGCATCTTGCCATTCACTGGCTTTTTAGCATGTTGTTTTTTATACCCGTCACCTGACTGTTATGTCATGCCAAATGTATTATGTATATGTTTTTAATGTATTATTTTTTTGTCTTGTTTTACAATGGCCAGTGGAATAGTGTAAAAAAATAAAAACAAAAATTAAAAAAATAACTCTCCATTGGAAATACAGATTATAACTATCACAAAGATCTTGATTTTAATCTTTCTCTAAATCTTAACAAACTATTCAATAATTTTTACTGCCATTACATTCCTATATGATAATTCATTGCAGAGAAAGTTTCTAAACACATAGGTCGAGTTCGGGCGGTCCATTCTTGACACGGGTTTCGTGTTCTCGCGCTCGAACGACGGGAAGACGACCCAAGAACACTGTTCTCGGAACAGGATCACACACCACCTCCTCGTCAGGGTTTTACACGAACACACGGAAATACTCGTGAGATTTTATTTTTGAACTGCCGCAAAAAGTACCGATATGGCTTTACAAAGCTGAAGACAATGGAATGTTTTGCAATTTTGACATTAATAATTTTCCATGACAGAAATGAATTTTTGAAATGGAAAAGAAGTTAGCCCAGTTATCCAACACTCTCGAAGAATGCACAAGGACGCTGCCATGGTGCATGTTGCTTGCCACAAATAACTACTAGCGCTAATAACCGGTTGTACATTCCCGGCGTTCGAGCGACCGACCCACCAACAAAAAATCGAGCTGTTCGTGAACAAACGAGAACAAGCCGCCCAAACTCAGCCATAAACTATCCATACTTAAATAACTGCAAAAAGGAGGTCGCTGTTACTATGAAGTCCACCAGGGAAGATTGTACAATTTGCAAGTTCGAGGCTCTGCACGCCTATGGAGGCAGCGTGCAAAGTGCAAATACTTCAGTACAAAGGTTTTTCTGTTTGTGAACAGAAACTTCACACACTGCAAACATATCTGAGAAGGGATTAATGCTTACTTATTGGTGTGCATACAAACAACAATTAATCAGCAAAGAAGATAAAACTTAGTCCAGCAAAATCTACAAATATGCAGGACATTTTTGGGTACAGACTACTGTTACATTGAGGTTATCTTCCCGGTATAGCATCACATTTGTGTTTATGAGTAGAGAAATACTCTTTAGTGTGACAACAAACATTTGAAACAAATTCGAAAATGAGCTTAAATGAGACAAAAAGGTGTATTTTGCAGGTTTTCATTAAAACAGACTGATTGCAGCTCTCCTTGTTAAAAATGAGAAGTTGAAAATTCAGATTGTCAAAATTTAACTTAGATATGACGCTCTCAATTCAATTTGTGCAAGAGTGCTGTTGGAATACCGAACTGGCGCCGAGATTTATATTAACAAGTTTGAGTCTGCTCTTGAGCTGTTAAAGGCATCGCGTTCCAACAAGTTAACAATATCATGAAGTAACACTGTTATTCCATGAAAAAGGCACGCATATCCTTGTTCATTCGGCTGAAGTAGAAACGAAAACATCCCCTTTTAAATAAACTAACAAATCTAGCTAGAAAATAGCACAAGAAATAAATTTAAGGCGCCTTATTTTTCACAACTTATTTCATGTATACGCAAATTGCTCTAAGACGTTTTCTTAAACTTGAATTTTAGTTGCTGAATTAAATTTAATCATCCTCTAAATAAACCTTTCTCCTTCACTGGAAAAAAATGCACCCAAAGACTAATCTCCACTACAGTGCAAAACTAGCGGTTCATGCTGGGTATTTTATGGACACAATCACATTATTTCCCCATCGAATTTTCGAATGAATTCATCCTTTGTAAATTCATTGCCTGGACTCATAACGTGTATGATTCCAAGTTGGTCAGAATTGAAAGGTAATACCTGTTTCCTGACAAAATCTCTCGACTTTCGCATCATAAGCCTCGCTCTGCGCCACGGTGAAATAGTTCTTCCAGTTGCCTACTTGACCTGAGTGAGAAAATACCAGCATTAAATCATTTATACATTTCTATCATCTACCGAAACTTTTCTATTCTAGTTGGTAAGTTAGAGCAAGGTATGGTGACACTGATCCAGGACTTTATTCTATATTGAAGGTGATCTGTGTCTACATGTATTTCACCACAATGAACTGGAATCTCCCGTACAGTTATAAGAAGCCGTTCCTACACGCTACAACTTCCTTTCAAGAGCCATTTATAAGTACTTGGTCTCAATACTAACGTACCCGTCCGGAAATGTCTGTGCAATGGCGTGTTGACTGCTCGTTTCTTCATGCTTTCAAATGACGTGGCTTCCACCACGCCACGTACTTCATTGTCAGTCAGAGTAACTCCAAGATGATTAGAAATCTTCTGCACTGCAGATGCAGGGTCCTACAAATTCAAATCATTAACTTAAAAAAATGATAAGTCCAAAATTGGGCCAAGCAGGTGAACTAAAACAAAGATAACATAACACACAATGAGAGAAATTTGGCTTCAATTTTCGATTATTGAACCAGTGTTGACCTTCGGGTATCAAACAACAAAAATGCTCTGCGCTATCATGTCACTCGCACGTTATTAAACATATACAAATTAGCATACCGTGCTGATGTAGATGTTTTACGAAAATAATGATTCCATTATTGTCGCTTGTATTAGTTTTCCTTTACTGATATAGATAAATTCGTCATTCCTGTAAGGCTGTTGCACTCACGCACGTCTTAACTTGTGCGAACACTTTGACAACACTCAGTTGGTCGGAAAGAGACGTGATATGCGCGTACTACTTGGCCCAGTAGTAACGGCTTCTTATTCTTTCCTCTGCATTTGTGTATGCTGATGAGATAGCACGTTGAAAAACTAAATGAAAAATTAAGAGAGGCTAAGCTATCATAGAAACCTTTTTTTTTCAAACTGCATCTGAAGAAGTAGCTGCCCCGAGCTATAAGAAACCTTATTCTTGTCTATATGATGTAATTTGTCTCTTAAGGTACTTCTCCTCATAATTATACTGATGTTTCTAGCAGACTAACAAGGCTGTGTACGTCTTTTACCTGTTGTTTTCGTAAATCGTACCTGTTTCATGTTTTCATACGATAAAATAAGAAAGTTGTCTTCGTTTCGATGACCCCAGTATCCCCGAACGTGATCCCACCACGGTCCGAAGGCAACTTGAAATAGGATTGTAAGGAAAAGAAAGGTAAGAGTTGCAGCTGACACAACGGGAATAATGCAAATGTCATCGTGTATTCAATGCAAAAACGAGATTAACACCATGTTTACCTTATAAACAAAATAGTAGGCCTATCCAGGGAATACGGAAGTAAACAGCAATGAGATGGTAGTTGAAACTAACCATTTCAAAAATGAACTGGATAATAGTGTGGCCTTTGAAGACGCACACCATATTGAGATGCTTGTGCGAAATACAATTCAGTGACACCAGGAGGCGATCTTGCATAAACTGTTAAAATGATGTACATGTATTTTAGTATTGTGTGCCGTGGCGTGAAGGTGAGATCGTACGAGAGGCGGTATTTGCATGTACACAGCTTGTGGGTACCCGCTGAAATCTTCGGTTTTATTACCTGAAACCTTTTAATGTGAGAATGAAACGCAACGTTTCATCCCTATCAGTCAGGTTATTCGCCCCTTGACATCTTCTATATGTGTAACAGACTATAGTTTGAAATTTTGGCATGAAGAGTTCAGTGTTTCATGCCTGACGAACTTCTGGGTGGTATTTTATTCCATTTACCAGCCTCCCCCTTCCAAATAACTGCATACCCCAATGATATGCAGATGCATGTGTTAATGAAGGAAACTTCAGCTTGGTATAGCTTGAAGGTGTCCCAATGTCCCAATTGCTAGGCTACGGCTGGAAATGCGCGTTCTCCTATGGGAGCTGCTAACTACTGGCTACAGCCACATCTCATGGACTTTTAAGTTAGCGCCAGCCGCAGCCAATGAATTTGGACACGGCCTGACCTAACAACGGTCACAACTGTCAGGTCAAAGCCTTTTCATTTCTCGGACACCTGATGCAACTTTTAAGAAGATTTATAATGTGTAGGCGGCATTTTGTGACAGTGACCGAAAAAGAGTGAAGGAAATGTTTCTGTTCGAATGTCATGAGTAATTGGATATAGGTGCTATAATATACTAAGAATTAGATGCATACATTCTCCATGGAGGTAAGTTTGACAGACGGTCTCCCATTTAAGGACATATGGGCAACTGGGTGGTTGGTAGTTGTACATTGACACAGCGGAGTCCTTCGGGTTGCGCATGACGTATATCACCTGTGCAATGAAAAAAAAATCAATTATGCCGAAAATGGACAAAGCCTTGTTTCTTTCAAATACGCAAATATGCACCATCAATATATTCACATGCGAAGACTGACTTGGTGCTGACTCATGTCATTTCCTTGTACGTGAATGTTATCATTGTCGTCGTCATGTCGATGTTGTTTGTTTCTTTTAATATTTTCTCACTGCCTTTTGGGAGCATTATAAAATAGTGACAGTCCACACTATTTCCCTTCAAATGGTAGACATCACAAACTTCCAACTTAACATTAAAAAGTACAAACTCACTTTGGGTTTCCTGGTGAATATTTTGTCTGGAAGCCGACGTACTTCTAAGTGAGAAGTCAAGATGCGAGGAGACTGCCACTCAGCAATTACATGATGACGCAGTCGAGCATTCGGGAAATCTCTTAGAACGGACTCAATGGGAAAGTTGATCTCAATAGGCATGCCTATTTCTTTATCTGTTGTCTTAGTGTCCAGCAAACCCCTCAAGCTCAAGACGTGGTAAATGATCGAAGCACACCACTTTGTTCCTATTTAGCATTAAAAAAAACACCAAAATACAAGTACGGGGAAATACAACACAAAACTTATAGCGTGCTAAAAAGTATACCTAGGACAAGTTTTGGCGACCTGAACCATGAACATGTTCCAGCTTTAATTTGGTCATTAGTTAACGCTTTGCGACTTCGGTTATGCCTCTGTACGTACGTGACGACATTGTTGGGTGGGTGGGTGTGTTGAGAGGGTGGGTGGGTGGGTGGGTGGGCTTGGTTGGTTGGTTTTTTTTTTTTTGTGGGCCGCCTTGGCCATGTTCCTGGTTACTGCTTTGAGGTCACCAACATGTTTCTGGTCAGGGGTCGCCAAAACACGCCCCCCGTTTACACTGGCGACGGAATTAGGGGGCCAGTGCCCCCCCCCCCCACTTTATCGACTGGGGATGATGCTCCCTACCCCACCCTTTTTTGGCAGGTCCTCTATATTGGGCTGGGCATTATTGAACACCCTATTAATTGCCATTTGATGCCAAATGGTCTCAAAACTGTCCCCCTCCCTGAAGATCGTTCTGCCGACGGGGCAACACAAAACCAATTGTCAAATCTTGAACATTCAATTTCTTACTGGGGTAGCTTACTTTGGGGTATTTTCATACGCGAATACTTTAAAAACTGCCTGTACAAAATTCACCTCGGTTGAAAGTGGAGGATGAAGTATGACATTATTTGCACTCGTAACGACTAGCAATGTTGCCGGCACATAGGATACAGGTGTGCAAGAACAGAGTGGTCAACCAATATCCAAGGAACTGAAAAGCCCCAGAAGCAACATTTCAGAAGCAGTACTATCACCTTAGTCTAAGGGGAAAGGATTACTGATGAAAATAATTGGATGACAGTTTTTGGGAAAAAAAGTTCCCGTTTACCCACGACTCAATGTGTAGCTCGGAAAATTAGTTTGTTGTTTTTTTACATGCATTTGCCTCTCATGTGATCAGTTTGATGTGATATTTACACTACTCGAAGTGTGTGGAATAAAACAATTAGGTCAAATTCTGAATAACAATTTTTAATTGTCCCAAATGGGTCCTTTTAATGACATTTTAGAACACCACGTGCCACTCCACCACACCCCCTGCTTATTGATAAGGAGCAATCAAGGTACACCAGTATCACCTTCCATGTCTGCTTCTTTCATATACTCTGACATGTACGTCTGAGCTCTCCCATTTTTCTCAAGCTGTCTTACCTGATTTGGGGAAGCAACACAGCCAGACATCGTCTTCTCGGACAGTCAACTCCTTTATCTCCTTCAAGATATCAGCGGTTATGCAGCGTGGAAACACCGAGCGATCCACGACATGAACTGAATCCTCGTAACTCACAACTTTATCCATTGAGGAGACAGAATCGATGGATTTAGCCAAGAGATAAATGCTTCAAGTGATGTTTTGAAATCTTATACTAATCTTTTTATCCTCGAGAAATAAATGCTTTGTCTTGAAGGAATTATTTTGGAAGTATTTTACACATTTCCGTTATCATGCCCATTCAGCCTTTACTTGCAATGGTGCCACTAGCATTACTTTACGACTGCATAGGCTTGTGGCCTCGACATCAAGCAAAGAAGGCGGTCGGCTGCTTCAATCGTTGCTTGACGGAAGCCTTCATGTTACGCAATGCGCAGGTTCCTATAAAACCTATTGTCGACCAATCAACAGTAAATATGGTCCACCGCAGTGACGTAAATTTATGCCGGATGTGGAGGGGGGAGGGAGAAAGGGGTGGGGGACTTGAAAATGTGAAAAGTGCGCCGCGGGGGGTACCATATGACTTTATATTGGTTGATGTTCATGATATTGATGTACATCTGTAGTATGTATTCAGAAGGGCATATCTATGGCTTTTAAAAATTGTACTCTCTTTTTTGAGCAACTCTAAGTGCATTTTTAAACAGACAAACGTCTGAAAAAATCTTTACAATCCACTTTACTTTTTCCCCACCACAGAAAGGTGTGTGTGTGTGTGTGTGGGGGGGGGTAATTCAATAGCTCACCCCCTTCCCAAAAAGGGGGGATATACATGACATTGTATACCCCTCACCCTCTGGGATTTACGCCAGTGGTCCACCGTAATTCACACATCACCCCTATTTTTCAAGCCCTTCACTGGCTGCCTATCCAGTATAGAATACAATACAAGATCATTTTGCTCACATTCAAAGTACTTCACGGTTCCGCCCCAGACTATCTACAATCACTCTTTTGATCTTACAGGTTCGCAGCTCCAGGTCGGGCTTGAGGTCATCAGGAAAGTCACTATTTGTTCCTCGAACCCGCCTGAGCAGTTATGGTGACAGGGCCTTTTCAAGTGCCGCCCCCCGTCTTTGGAACTCCCTCCCGGTAGATTTGAGAGAAACACATAACTCCACACTCTTTGCCCAGAGATTAAAAACCCACCTTTATGTCCTAGCTTTTCCTTCTTGAGACCGAGGCTCTTTCATCAGACCGGCGCCTTTGAATGGTCACCAGATACAGGCGCCTTATAAATGCTGTATTATTATTATTTATTATTAATTCCTCCCATAAATTAATCCAACTTCCCCATGTAATTACCTATATTTTGTGTGAAATCACAAGTATTTTTTATTACTTTAGAAGTCGGAGTGCATAGTAATCTTGTTCAATTTCTGTATATTCGACCATTCGGACTTATCCACACAGAAGCGGCTTTCACCAAAGTTTTGCCGCGAATAAGTTTTATTCTCAGCATTTGATCCTGCTTTGATGACATTAGCCTATCACATGCTTCAGCTTACCAGACAATGGCTTGATTGCTGAACAAGTTCACTCAGACATGCTTTTAATTGAAAATATTTATCTATTGCCTTCAGTCTGATTTAAAATGTATTCTGGAGAAAAAAGATAGGGCTTCATTGACATCGCTCCATTCCTGCACTGAGCGACCATCGCTATTTTTAACGTACCGTCCATAATTATATAAACATTTTACTCCGACCAAGCATCGATAACAGATGTGTTTTATTCCTCCATGATTCCTCCAAACATAGTACCACTATTTATCGGACCGGATTGCATCAAAATTGCTCAGAACTTGAAGCCCAAGTCCAGGCCAGAAGTTCAGTGCCATATTTCTTCCATTCCCAATTTCGTGACCCTCACAACTCTCCAATAATTTTGCCAATGAGCTCGGCGGAATTTGTTGATGATTGACCATCGTGCATAGCGCCCTCTAATAGTACTGCGTGGAGGATGTCTGGTACCCAAACTATTAATTAATAGGCCTTTGGGTTAGAATAGAAGCTCGAAGTCAGTCTGGTAAATATTGCCCTTACGACAAGTAATG